TTTTACAAATTATTAATAAATTAAAAAAGAAACACCAGGTTTGCTGTACTTGTAGGGCCGCACAATTTGGCCAAAAATGTTGTTTTTATATATCAATAAAACTAATAATGATTATGGTTATTATTTCTAAATAAAAACATTAAACAAAATAAGGAATATTACTTTTGTAATAACACAATTTCACTATAATATACAAAACTGAGTATTTAAGAATAAACATAATAATAAATGAATAAGTACTAGTATCTAATGAATAAGTACTAGTGTCTATTTAATAGGTACTAGTATCTAATGAATGAGCTCTAATATCTAAAAATACGTATAGTACCTAATGAATAACTACTAGTACACAAAAATTAAGTGCTAGTCACTAGCGGAATACATACTAGTTAAAACTGAATAGTTGGTATCTCAATGACGGTTCCCCATAGAAGTCAATGGCAAAAATGTAAAATGTGTTACTAGTAACAATATAAAAGTTACTAGTCACTATTGAAATAAGTACTAGTATCTAATCAATAAGTACTAGTATCTAATGAATAAATACTAGTATATAATAAATAAATACTAGTATATAATAAATAAGTACTAGTATTTAATCAATAAGTACTAGTATCTAATGAATAAGTACTAGTACCTAATAAATAAGTACTATCTAATAAATAAGTAATAGTACCTAATAAATAAGCACTAGTATCTAATCAATAAGTAGTATCTAATGATTAAGTACTAGTATCTAATGAATAAGTACTAGTACCTAATAAATAAGTACTAGTACCTAATAAATAAGCTCTAGTATCTAATCAGTAAGTAGTATCTAATGATTAAGTACTAGTATCTAATGAATAAGTACTAGTAACTTTACAAAAGACACTAGTACCTAAAGAATAAGCACTAGTACCTAAAGAATAAGCACTAGTAGTTAATTAATAAGTACTAGTACTTAATGGAAAATATACTACAATGTAAAAAGTAATGAGTTGAACTTACTTGGAAAACCTGTGGAAACTGATTGCCTCAAATTTCTCAAGCAAATTAGTTTATAATTTTTGAGTTAATAAAACTCACTGAAACTTCGTATAGATGTTGCTTCAAGTCATTACTTTTTAGGCATGCTATCAAATCAACAATTTAACACTGTAAGAAAAATTGCACAGTGCACTCAGGAAATAAATAGAAAAAATAAAAAAAATTAACATCCCTTTCATGACACCTTGTAAATCTAGATTTACCATTTTCTAGAATTACCTTTTTCTAAATCAATAATGATCAATCATGAACAATTACACTGAAAAATGCTCCATCACGCCACAATGACATCTTTCTACAT